CTAAATGACAAGTCTGTATGACCATAGACCAACAAGTTATGCAACGAAAGGTGGGTGTCATTTTTTTTTGAGTCGCCCTGTATTTATCATTCCTAAGAAGAGAAATGCAATCAAAATTGTGACATATGTTATTGACTATGAATACTCAAATGTGATTGCTATTTTTATAGCTAAAATGGATGCATGTCCAACACATTGTGGGACCACTTGTAGTCTGATTCTGAAAGCTTTTTAAAAATATTTATTTAGTCATGATCAATATACCTATAGCATTAGCTTGCCTATGAAAAAGGTACTTGAGAAAGTTTGTTTTAAGATATTTTTAAGTGTTCCTGTACAGTACTTAGTATTAACAATTAGACGATTCTATACAAACTTTGATTACTAAATTTTGATGACTGTATGAGAGCTGTTATTAGGTATATCATATACATTCCTGAATAATTTAAGATGTTGATTATTGTTGCTATGGATTGTGTGATGTAATACTACTAGATGCTGAAAATGTGAATTTACATGTAAGTGTGAATTGTGGATAGAATGTGGAGATTTCTGTAAGTTGTATTGCCAATTAAGAAATCGGTTCAGTACTTGATTTGTGCATAATTTAAGCTGAAGTTTATCTGTTGTAAATTGATTGCTGTTACATCATGTTAAGAATTACTCTTCGAAGCATGTAAAATATTGCCAATATTTTGAACATGCCAAACATCATTATACCATGTCATTTTTATACCATATTTAGAAAGAATGAAGCAAATTTTCTTTAAATCTCTGATTTATAATTGTAAACTAGAGTATCTGACACTTGTATCAAAATAATAAGTACTTTTTAGTTTATAAGTTAAATTTCTTAAGATGCATTCATTATCCCAAAGAACGAAGAAGAACAATATTTGCAGTTGCAAAGAATTAAATAATGATGTTACTTTTTAAGGAATACTGAGTCCTAGTGCATCTTGGTGTGTATAATTCAGAAATACCTTATTCTGTGTAATATTAGTTATGAGAAATATAATGAGATACTAAAATGCTAAGTGTTTTTATTTCATTTTATTTGTCCCACAAGTATAATGGCATATTGTACAGGGTGGCCACAGTGGAAAAGTAAAACTCCAGTGCATCCCAATAGACTGGAATAAGAACAAGGCATTAACATGACAAAATGTCACCACCTAAAACAATTTGGTCAATTTAAAGCACGTCAAACCTTAAATCTAAAGTCTGATTTGAACTTCAGAAAACTTGTAGATGATTTTGAAAAAAAAATTGTGCAATTTGAAGCAGAGTAAAAAAGACCGTTTTGACCTTGAGAAGGTCATTAAAGGTCAAATCGTAAATCTAAAGTCAGATTTGAATTCCTGAGAACTTGTAGATGATTTGGAAAAAAATTTTGTCAATTTGAAGCAAGTTGAAAAAAGACCTTTTTGACCTTTTTTTGTTGATCTTGAGAAGGTCATTGAAGGTCAAATCTCATATTTTAAGTCAGATATGCACTTCTAAGACCTTGTAGATGCTTCAGAAAAAAATTGAAGTCAGTCTAAACAGTATTTGTAAAGTTATTGAAAGTTGTAAGAATTTGTTACAGACCAGATACCAGACACCAACCGCCGTAACAAAAAACAGACCACGAGACCATAACAATATGTCACCACTTTTGGTGGTGACATAAAAACTGGAAATGAATGAACATTATCAATATATTCAATACGATCATTATCCCACCGAAAGAGGAGCTCATGTTATGCAAGGAAAGGTGTCCAATTCCAGCTAATTACACAGTATTTCATATAATTGCATTGCATAATACTAGTCTAATGCACCCAAAGTCATTTTTTATAACATCCATTTAACAATTTCAAATTGGCTGTTCACTCACTCACCTCTTGTATTTTCAACAAAAAAACAGATGGATGCACTGACATAGAAATGAAAGAATTGCAATTCAAAGTAGGAGTTAGCCATTTGGTGATATTTTGAAAAAACCCTTGCACCGACAAACTACCTGAAAACTTCCAACCACTTGAAAAATCATTACAATTAACAGCTTTACGACCAAATTATACAGAATTGTAAAACATCAACACTTCAGGCTTGATTCAAAAAATCTGAAAGCCTACTGATGTGAATAAGCTTATTCAATGGATTATTGTTGCAGTTCATGATTAATTTTATCTAACAGAAAAACCAGCAACTCTCTTGCCTCCTCTAATGTGTTAGGGGTTGATTTTCCACTTTCCTCCATAAGCATTTGGAATAATTCTTTGAAGTGTTCCTTGTTAGTTTCTACAACACAAGTATTGTCAGATTCTAACTGAGCAAATATTTCTTGGTCAATCTTTTGCAACACATCCTTATGTCCAAATTCTTCAGGGGCAAAGTACAGAATATCTGGTTTCCCATTAACTGAACTGACAGATTTTGATTTTTGAATATGGTGTGTATTCCACATTCTTTGCGTTGTGTCAAGTTCTCTTTGCAGTAGATCCATGTAACAATATCTCATACACTCAATGTCTAGTATGTTTGAATTGTCAATAATGCCAACATCTAACAGCTGGCGGCAGTGAGATATCCACATTGCTGCTCCATATATTGGAAATTTACTCCAGAAACTTTCTATTCTCTGGTTTGCAGTTGATTTTCCATACAGAAATGCAACTTTACATGAACAGTCATCATTTACAGAGCGTAGAACAGTTTGAAGCAGTTCAACCTTGACATTCTCAGTCCCCCGATCTGCGCGAACAATCTTTGGAATACCATTTACATTTTTAACACAATCGCAAAAGTATTTGCAAATTAACATAGAGTTTTTATTTGAAGATCCTGCTTTGAGCCACAATATTCTTCTACTGAATCCATCCAAGCATCCATGGACAGTTAAACCATATGGAGTTAGTTTATCCCAGCCATCAATATGCCATATATAGTTGCTCCCTTCAGATGTATATTGTCGCCTTTGTAAGCGTCTCGTTGATCGTTTGTGTACACCTTCTGGGTCAAGAACTGAGAGCAAACGGCGAATTGTTTCATGATCTGTTTTCAGCCTGCAATTCACAAAAGCTGTCATACTTTATTTTATGCCAGAAAAAGGGGAGATAAAATAGTGAAATACAGTATAATGGTAAAGAACTTTATGAGTATCTTATTGGGCGGGATGACAGGTACAAAACTGAGTTGACGGGAACAACTGAATTGATGGGTAACAGAAAATGAAACAACAGCACTCTGAGGTGACATATACCAGAAAATGAGATGACGAGGACCAAAAAGGGGAAAATACATGTACTGAGATTAAGATACGACACAACTTTTTTAACTTATGCCACAAGTGGCAACGGTTTCAAACGTCATGATGACATCTTTTTAATAATTGAGTTTGCCTTCAATGAAAACTAAGCGACAGGTACAGGTACTGAGATGACCTAGGTAACATGTATTGAGTACTGGTGTATGTTGAACTGACTTGATGGGCAGCATACAGTAGGTATTTTCAAGAAAAGTATTCAGTTGACGGCAGAATAGTTGCTGGCCTTAAAGTGATCTGATTGGCGGAATCACATTCCAGCCTATGCCTTCCCATACATGTACCTCATAAATGTGGGGCTGATTTTTCAAATCCAATCTCCACAATTTTACAATCGGGATTCGGGGTACCAGATACTATTCTCGATTCCGGAATCAGGACATTGATACTTCCCCGATGGTAAAATTGTGGAGATTGATCAATCAATTGACTTACCCATGGACTTTTGTGATTTTGCCATGCATACTCCGGTATCCCATTGCTGACCCACTGCCATGATCTATCTCTTGAATGATAGCGTCAGCAACTGTGCCAATGGCAGTTTTATCGAATTTTCTTGAGAGCCCCATCTTCTTTAAATCCCTCTTGATCTGTCTCTCCGAAAGTGTAATTCCATGACGGAACTTTAACAACATGCCGATCTCCTTGTACGTAAAACCGTCTTCAAAGTATGTGGCTATACATTCATCTCGATCTGACTCCATTTCTTCTTCGATTATAAGTCATGACACGCCGCATCTAGATTCTACAAAATCTCCTTTACAGAAGACTTTTGTAAAATTAAAATACTTATGCATTTTCAATATTAGTTTTGTAAAATTATTTTTTATTTTGCAAAATTATTTTTATAATTCTATACTTTTGGAAAATTATTTTGAAAATAATATTTTGAATTGCAAAAGTCCCATCGTATTTTATAAAACTATTTTTAAAATCTGTAAACTAATTTGATTTCTTTAAAGTAATCTAGGTATTTTTCCATAAATATTTTGAAATTGAAAAATGAATTTCGAAATTACAAAAATCAAATCCTGTTTCATTCAAGTTTTTAGATTTTAGATAAGTATTTTGTGAATTTTTATAAGTTTTTTAGATTTAAAACAGAAAAATCGATTTTTCATTTAATATTTTGATATATTACAAAACTAAAATTGTGTTTTATTAAAGTTTTTAGATTTTATATAAGTACTTTGTGAATTTTTATAAGTTTTTTTGAGATTTGAAAAATTAAAATTGATTTTTTTTTAATTTGAAAAATATGTCCCTTTTAAAGCTTCGTAGTTCGGGAATCTAACTACACGATATGTATTTTTCAATTTTTCGACCCGCTGGCACATCTGCAATATCTCGGCGATAAAAAGTGCTAGAACAGTCTAGTTTGCATCACTCAGATTTTTTTGAAAAAACTACCGGCGCCATTTGTAATCCCATGTTAAACGGCCGCTGTGATTTGAAAACATTCTTGAAAAATGAAACACCCTAGTGGGCCACCTTTGATTCATCAAATTATACTTCACCCACGTAGAGCATCAGTTATTTGTACCATTTGAAGGAAAAACTGAACTATATTAAAACAACTTTGATTTCTTCAGTTATTTACCTTTATTCTAGAATTTTAAGTTTTCTGAAAAAGGTTGGGCTAAATCTCCATTGGCACAATGTTAAAAAATCTTAAAAAGTTCATTTACTCTTTTAGGTTCTCAATTTTAATGTTAAATCACAATGCACATATAAACAAGATGTATGTCAATTGGGTTTTACATAAATCCAATTGGAAATACTTGATATATCAAGAAATTAAGTGATATTTTTGCCATTTGTCTGTGTATTATGAATAGTATTGTGGCCCAACCAACACATGTGCTGCCATCTACATTTATCCATCTCTATATAGCATTCCCCATTGGACTACATGTAAAACCCAATTCACGTTTCTAGTATATCTCCTTCAATGGTTTTTGAACCATGAAAGCCAGTGTAAATGATGCGTTTATCAACGGGATCCACGCCTTGCGTATGCATTTATTTAGCAAGTCTATATTCAGACAAAATGACAGGCTCAAAGTTCATCATTCTTTCGGAGACCATCACTCAATGTTTGTGAATCGTCTATAAATTCCAATATCTCTCGGGGTTTCGTATACCTATCCATGAGAACGGCGTTCATGATGTATTCCCCACGATGCCTACCAAGTGCTCTCTGCTGTGTGATGTAAGAAGTTATCTCTCTCTTCCCCCTGTAGCTACCGGGTAGTATCTTCCACTTGAGGAATGACGCCAACTTGGAAAGAAAGTATATTGAATTATTTACAGTGTTATGAATCTAGTAGTACCATTCATTCAATTACAGGGTACGGAAAGCGAAAGGGGATATACCGCAGAATTTAAAATTCAATGGAGTTTTAACATGGGAGTGATATCACACACCGCGGCCCAGTCAGATGTATTTCTGCGCACTTTATTTATTTAATTCACTTTGCACAACGCGCCCCCTGTAATTCATTCAGTGCGCAATTAAAAATTGTTTATGAGTGATATATCGCACACCGCGGCCCAGTAAGATCGATTTCTGCGCACTTTATTTATTAACACACTCAAAATATCGCGCTGAAGCTTGTATATGCTGGCGCGATGTAATTATAGTTTTCTGTTAATAAATGCCCAACAAGAAAGGGTAGCACAACGAATTCAACTTTTTTCGAAAGACTGCAGACTTGACCTGCGAAATTGTAATTTTGGATCACAGTGATGCCTCTAGAGAGGATATCTATGAGAATTACAGATTATAGTGCGCAGAATTATAAAGTCAAGCTGACCTCAAAATGGTAGTACACAGTGTACACTGCCATCTTTCAATAAAGTAACTACAGACCTTCGTATACAAAATACCAGAATGATTGATGTAATACCTGTATACCATTTCTTCTGGGAGAAGGAAAGTTCCTATATGTATTCCATGGCCGTAGCCTCATCCCCCTCCCCCTTGCCAAATATTCGTTCAAAATCATGCAGTTTTTCACCATTCTTAGCACTTTTCGCATGATTTTTTTGCCATAACTGTCAAAAAGCTCCCCCCTCTTTGCAAAATCTCCCCCTTGGTAAAACCACTCCCCCAGGTTAATCCAGGATACGGGTCTGTATTCTTAGACGAGATTGTTCAAGAACATAAGGTAGACATAAGTGCCACCTGTTAAAAGCTAGGAGATCTTTTCTAAGTTATTAAGTCATCAATCAGCAGACTGGTAATTGTATCCCCCACCCACTTCAAACTCCATACACTAACATAGTATTACAATTTTATCTGTGTTTATTTGACTGAAGGTGTACATTCATAGCATTGAATTGCATTTCATTGCATTGTATTGTATTGTATAGCACATCATTGTATTGTTTTGTACTGCATTTTATTGGATTGCACTGCATTGTATTGTATTGCACTACATTGTATTCTATTGCATTATATTGTACTGTATTGCACTGTATTATATTATATTGCACTGCATTGTACTTTATTGCACTGCATTGTATTGTACTGCAGTGTACTACATTGTATTGCGATGCATTGTATTGTATTGCACTGCATTATAATGTATTGCACTGTATCACATTGTGTTGCACTGCATTGTATAACACTGCATTGTTTTGAATTGCACTTCAATATATTGCACTGCACCATATTGTATTGCATTGCATTAGAGTGCACTGCATTGTATTATATTGCACTGTATTGTATTGCACAGTATTGTATTGCATTGTCTTGAATTACACTGCATTTTATTACACTGCATTGTATTTTATTGCACTGCATTGTATTGTACTGCAGTGTACTGTATTCTATTGTACAGCATTGTTTTGTATTGCACTGCATTGTATTGCATTGTATTGAATTGCACTGTATTGTATTTTATTGCACTGCATTGCACTACATTGTATTGCACTGTATTGGACTGCGATGTATTGTATTGCACTGCATTGTATTGCACTGTACCACATTGTATTGCACTGCATTGTATTGAAATGAACTACATTGTATTGCACTGCACGGCATTGTTTTGCACTGTATTGCATTGCACTGCATTGTATTGCATTATATTGCACTGTATTGTATTGCATCGTATTGCACTGCATTTTATTGTATTATATTGCACTACATTGTATTGTATCATATTGCACTGCATTTTTTGCATCATATAACACTGCTTTGTATTGCATCATATTACACTACATTGTATTGCATCATATTGCTCTGCATTGTATTGCATCATATTGCACCGCATTGTATTACATCATATTGCACCACATTGTATTGCATCATATTGCACTGCATTGTATAACATCATATTGCACTGCATTGTATTGCATCATATTCCGTATTTACCATTTCGTTACAGTTTTATTACATAAAATGTTATTTATAAGATTATAATTTTCAAACATTGAAAATATTTTATACAATATCAATTAAAAGATATGAAATGGCCCAAAATAATATATTTTCAATGGAACCCTTTGCAAGGGTCACTTCAACATAACGTGTAATCTGTACGCATACGCCCTCTTTTAATGAACATTATCTTTGAAACCATATTAGAATCGAATCTGATAAAAGTGCGCATGTCCTGGATGTGCTGCGCGCTAGAATCGGGAAATCTCAAAGTTCTCCTCGTTAGAGCCATCAGTATTATCCAAAATTGTTATTTCGCTGGTTCACTCCGCAGTCTTTCGAAAAAAATCAAATTCGTGGTGCCACGAATTTTTATTCGTTTTTTATTCACAGATAATCATTTTTTCATCGCGCACTGAATGCCGGAATTTCTGCGCACTTTATTTTAATTAACTTTGCACAACGCGGCCCCTGTAATTCATTCAGTGCGCGATGAAATCTATCTGACTGGGCCGCGGTGTGTGATATCACTCCCATGTTAAAACTCCATTCGATTTTGAATTATGCGCATGTCCCCTATAGCTTTCCGTAACAGGGTTACCTCATTCTTATTTAACCGGTCTAAAAGAATATATTCGACAAACAACGCAATTCTGAAAAACGGGTTTCATGTTCACATATAATATCGGGAATATCCAATGCGAGATATGAACAACCGTTATCTCATCAAATATCATATACATTAGGAAATAAGATTGATGTTCGATATTGATGAATGTGTGATAAAGGGATTTTTGTAGAACATTTAATGCTATTCATGGAATGAACACTAGTATTTACTCCGCGACAACATACCTCTGCGTCGTTATTCATATCAGCCATTACAATCATACCCTCAATGGATCGAATCAATTCAGTCTCTACCTCTAACGCATATTTCAGTGCCCATAAACTTGACTTAAAGTCCAGTTTCACATTGCTCTACAAAGACAAATCATATTATGTATGTAACTCTAATGCATCGTCCTTGGTGCTTTTTCCAATGTCTTTTCTTGATGTTTTTATATTATATTTTATCTTGGTGTTTGGTTCCACGTCTTGTCCAAAGTTTGTATTTGGTTCAATGCTTTGCTTTTGTATTTATAGCCTCGTGTCTTGTCTTGGTGTTTGTACAATATTTAGTCTTGGTCTTGTCTAAGCTTTTATTCGCGAATGCAACTAACGGCTAAGGTTTGCAAATGTATTTGGTCCGATGAATTGTCTTTATGTTTTGTGCGATGTCTTGTCTTAGCTTGTATTCGCGAATGCAACTAACGACTGTCGGCTACCGGATTAACCTACTATTTTATTGAAAACTCATTTAAATATGAATAGTACCTGCCACTATTCCATTCATATTTAAATTAGTTAAATAAAATACTAGATTAATCCGGTAGCTGACAGGCGTTAGTTGCATTATTGTTTTGGTTAAACTTACATCGAAGGTGAGCAATTCTGCCTTCGCCCCTCTCTTAATTTGGAATTCCATAATTGCCATAAAGTTCTTCGTCTTATAATTTGCTGCTGCCATAAACATACGCTGAAATCCCTCCAGGCTGCGATTTACTTCCATGAACGCCATTGCCTAGGAATTTAAGAATATACTTATATTATTGGGACCGTGTTTCCTAGATTAAGATATCCCGTGGATTTTAAATCTTGGTGTTTATAGTCTCAACAGGACTGCCATTCCTACCGTTTTAGATTAATACATGGAAGGCCATGGACTACAATCACCAATGGACTTTTATACTTTCTAAAGTGCAGGACTCTCATACCTAGGGTACGTGGTCTTAGTCGGACCATAATTCAAGCCTATTGTTGGCATATTTTAAGAAGGTATGACCATTTTCTCAGATAGGATGCGTACGTACCAGTCCTACATAATTGTAACCAAAGAGTAGCTGCACATTTGTAAGTTTTACAACAGCATGTTTCTTTTCTTCAACCTCGCCACAAGATGGCAGCAGAAAGTCTGAATCAGTCTTGTTCGACGCAGGCTTCGGAACTGAATAAAAAATATGGTTGGGATTATATTATCATATTTAACCACTGTGATATAACACTTTAGGTTATACTATGATCTACCAATTCGAAACAATAACGTGCATCACGTAACGTGAATCACGTAATGTAAGCAGATGGCAAGTCAAGCTTGGGGTCAGTTTATATCGTTTTAACACACTCTCACTAAGTTTCAGCCAAACTTTAACGCCCAATTCTAATTTGAAACGCAGTTCACGAATTAGTCAACACTGGCCTGGGAGTGTTTATTTGACGTACTGTAACACGGCGACGCTGGGTCGTTTAGACACGGTTCGTCGAGACATTTCCCAGATTTCTGAGCCATCAAGGGATACACCAGAGACTAAAATATAATTTCATTTGTGAATATACAGGGTGGTCCAAAAATGTGAATCCTTGCAACAAGCTATATCTCAGTTATTACTTGCATTCATTGGCTAATATTTTCACATATTTTAGAGGGAGGTCTAACGTTTTTGTGGGTACCATAAAGATCACGCTGTCTTAAGTCTTGCAAAAGTTTGTGTACATGGCATTAACAGACATGCCTGATAAATGGGTGATATGCTCAATCCATGGTTCACAGTTTTGGATAACTGCTATAATGTGAATGTTGAAGTTCCCAAAAAATTAGATACATTAGATACATAAGTACACAGCCAATTCACATCCACATGAAATCTTTATGCCTCGAGGATCCACCTAGAATCCTCATGAACCCTACATGGATTCCATGCGAAATCCGCTTGGATTTTAGGCACGTTGAAATATTCCTGTTGAAACGTGTGACAATAATGTGGATCCGTGTGGATTAAATTTACGTGGATTGTTATACATATCCAAGAAGATTCCATGTGAATCGTATTGAGGGTAATTTTCTTTCCTTAAAATAAAGAAAATGCTTAAGAATAACAAAACACCCCTAGATATGCTGGAACGAGCAGTGAACAACTTTAACATTCACAATGCAGCAGTTATCCAGAACCATGGAGCATTGATTGAGCACATCATTCATAATCAGGCATGTCTGTTGATGCCATGTAACTTCTGCAAGACTTAGGAAAAATTGACCTTCACGGTACCTACCTAAACACTTTAGACTTTCCTTTAAAACATGTGAGAATATCAGCCCGTTAATGCAAGTAATAGCTGAGATATAGCTTGTTGCAAGGGTTCACGTTTTTACACCACTCTGTATATAAATAAATATAACTACCTAATAAATCCTTGTTATAATGCGACATGAATCAACACAACAAATCAAATGAATGATACCTAATGATCTCTTAAATTACATTTTCAGGCAATATCATCTTTTTATAATGGTTAACTACATTTTCAATGCCTATGTCTGTGTAAATCATTGGTAATAGAAAGTTCGAAGAGACTACTTGGAATCAATCAAACTCCTGTAAACCATATGCTTACTAGCCCTATCGTGAACTTGTATCTGCAACCACAACAAAGCTTCGGATCAGAGCATCTCACCCTCAAAATCTGACATGTTTTCTTCACTGGAATAAAAAAAAATTAACAATTTCTCGGCAGAGTGGTTGCCTTCATTAAAACGAAAGGATTAATGAAAAATTATTTTTACGAACGGTTTTTGTAGGATTAGTAGCTTTTGAGTTCTAGCATAAATGTAAAAATCTATGGTTGTTTTTTCAACCAAATATACCATTTTTATTGCAAGAGAGATGTTGCAACAATTAATGTATGCAATATTTTAGATCTTAAACAGGTAGCTGATGCCCCTACGTCTGAACAAACCGGGATTTCATCTTCAACATTGATTCAGTTGAAGCATTTTTGATTTTCTTACCAGCGCCGCAAATGTTGTCTACTAACTGCTTTGCTATCGGAGCCGTCTCCTCTGTGAAGTTTGATATGGTGATAACATTTTTTTCTGAAGGTTCACTGGCTAAAGTATTCCATTCATTAAGTGTAAACAAATCCTTCGAAACATCTGGGTTATCTAATACACCAACCACGAACACACCCGCACGTTTTAGAGTCTTCAGTATTGCAGATTCTCTAGTGGCAGTGAAATATTTCAACTTGGGGGTAGTTGGTCCGGTTGTTATCAGAATAAGTACATTTCCTGATTTTATCCTGTCGCCGCTGTCAATATTAAAATAGCGCTCTCGTAGCGTCCGTAACACGACGTCAGTGCGTCGGTCACATTTACCCCGTGACTCAAGATTAAGTTCAAGGATCGTAATGAGAACGTCACGCATACTCAGATCTTCATCTAGGTATGTCCGATGGTAGAATACGCTATTAAACGTCACTATCCCGATTTGGCTTCCACCAACATGTTTTGTACCAATTTTGAGGTCCCTGATTACAGCTATCATAAAACGTCGTATTTCTTCCCTCCTCTTTTGGGATATATTACAGGAGGTATCAATTGCAAATACAATGTCTCTGTTACATTTAATACTTTTTCTGCATTTTGCGTCGGCCATCACTGAAATACAAACAAACTAAGTCATGTGTGTTAAGAATTAGCATAGTATTAAAGCTGTATGATCCGAACGTTAATGGAACCGCTCAAAGGTGTTCAAATTTTACACATTCACCACTGAATATCTATAGCTGAGTTGACCCCAAAACTTTATGGCATATACAACATATTTGCATATACAAACAATTTGAATCAGACATTCAATTATTACCAGTTTTACTAGAAAAAGACGATTGTGACCTTCAAAAGTAGATGTCATTAAAAAAATTGAATAAATATCAGAGCTCATCGAAATTATTTACTTGGAAATATTGTGATTTAACTAAATGTCAGATCATATTTTCCCGGGTGGAAACCATCTGGTGACATACGAATTGGCATTATATGATTATTACTAAATGGGATGAAATCAGTGTGTTCTAATCCAGTTATAATGGGCAATGTCTTGATTGATCAATTAAATAATACTCACACAAATCGATATTATCTTCCGCATCATGAATCACGTCCAAGTCGTCACCCGTGTCATCTCTAACTGCCAAACCAATCCCAGTTAACGCCATCATCAACAAAAATACGGTCATCGACAATATCTCCGAATAAGCCTTTCCTGGCATTTCGATCCTTTAAACATCATAACTTTCCAGCAAAATATATTGCATTTGCCTGTTAAATTGTTCCAAGCGTTGTGACACTATTCGTGACTTTCTGTATGTTTCTCTTCTGTATTTCTGTATGAAATATGATTTTATTTTCAATATTGATATAATTTGATTTTAACTCATATTATCGCATTTTTCTCAGATTTTAACTGATCTTTACATATGCTGTGGTGAGACTAGATGTTTTGTCCAAAAGTAGCTGCACGTATGCTGCAATCGCACGTCGTAATCCTGAATCCAGAGTTGGGGTCGAATTTATGCTATATGAACGTACAATCGCTAACCCAAGATAACGTATTTAAAACAATAAATAACACTAGAAAAACAATGCATCGTTCTGCTTTGTGATTTAATAACCTTTTATGCATCTCCAATGTATCTTATCATCTCTGATTTAGAGTGATTTTTACAACAATAATATGGCATCTGTAAGAAAAACATGTTTTAAGATGTCTACCAATATACACATGTTTCAAAACGTCTGAGAATCGGAAACACTGTTTTGGACCACGTGAGTCTTTTTATGCTTTCCGAGGTAAATATTTCGAAAAACAGTTAAGATCTGCACTTTTAACCCAAACCGTTTATGTAATTTAAGTGAGGAATTAAATCGACGATTCTGTTGTCCTGTGGGCTATTTTTTCGCAAACATGTACATTTTCTAAAACATGTGATACAGCGTAATCGAGCGGATCACCAGTGTAAGATCCAATAAAAAAGATCATAACATCCGCATTACAATGTAAGATGCTGCTTAACCTTTATCCTCATTATCAATGCTCTTCTGATTTCCACTACTAGTTTTGCTAAAGTCTTGGGCAACCTATTTTAGGAAACAATTTGTTGTGAGATTTCGGAACGTTTTACATGATTTTTAAAACCTTGTTCCGCTTTGATTCTTCCAATACAGTATTCCATATTAATTCATTCAGTTAGTTCGAATCTTAATCCCCTTTCAACTAATCTATTGGAAGACCAAATTTATTGTATTTTATTGAAATGTATTTTACGGTAAAGTGTGCACGCTGGAAACATTATCTGTTTGTATGATGATTTTTATGCTGGTTTGATGCCTTGGTTTGATGAATTGGATATCTATTGTGAAAGCGTTCTGGTACTTAACAAATGAAATGTCCCTTGATGTTGTGGTCCTGGATTGTGAATGGAACTTCAATGGTGGGGAAGGGGGTATAGGACATCGTTTCTTTTCACGTTGAATTATGGTTTGGGATTGCTGGGGTTGTCTTCCTTTTGACTGGTGTACACTTACAGATGTTTCTTTTTCTTGCTGAGTTCTAAGAGGGGGAGGGGAGCTTTGGGACAAGATTTCATTCTTTGTTTCCATTAACCAATTGTTTACTTATTAATAAAGTATGTAAACGCCGAACAAACGGATGTCCAATTAGAATTGCTGATTGTACTAACAAATAGATAAATGGACGTCCTCACAGGTTACTTTTTGTACAGGTAAGTATCGTAATAAAAACGCTAGCTGGATTCCGTCTACTAACTATCTTGTTTTTATACAGGAGTTTTTTTATCTGTTGATAGATTATAGATATTTTATGTATATCTAGATCTCTTAAATATTTTAGTTTAGCGTTATAAGTGCTTTTAAAATCGTACCCTGTCATACTCATTTATCTCCATCAAAAATAAAGGTCTTACTCTACTTTATATGTCATGGCCACAAGTTTGTATAAATGTTGTGTTGTTTTAATAAAATAAAAATAATATATACAGGGTGGGCCGAAAAATCCAATACCCAAGATTGATTCATATAATACAGTATATCTTCAACCATGCCATGTATTATATATCATTTTAAAGATAAATCATTTCCTAACAATATGACACCATCCAGTTGAAAAACTAATGCTTTCTTGTGGAATTAAAGGCTGATACCAGGGGTGTCATGAGCGACCAAAAATAAAAAATAAAAAAAATGATTTAACATATGATATTCATCTTTAAATTTGGGTATTGGTTTTTTGGACCACCAAATATTTCATATCATGTTATAAATCAAAAGTTTTTAATACGGAAACTCTAAAAATATCCAACATGCTTTTATATGAAGTAATTTACAATAGAAAATCACCTTCACCACGAGAGGAATACTACCCCTAAACCTGGATTAGGGTTATTGGCAAAAACAGAATGCCCATAGCCTTAGCATCTAATTTAGATACAATATATAATTACAACTTTATTACAATTGTATTGTACATCTATTTAAATACCCATCTAATTTGGTTTTCCACAAATGAATACGCATTTGAAGAACGATGGTAGTTAGTAAAAGCATTCCTTTCATGGATCTTTTGAAATGCTGTATGACAAATTTGCCATCATCTCTACTGTCAGTGTCCTTAGTAACTACAGTTCTACTTGTACATGTCTGTTGACTGGTATTTTCTTTCCATCATTAGTTTTAGTTTGTTCACGTTTAAAATTTTTATTTTCTTGTGTCATCCCAAATATATCAATTGTTTCTGGTTGATACTTATTGTAAAGGACCTCGTTGAGGATGTATTCCCCTACACCCTGGCCAAGTGCATGGTACTGCGTGATATACTCAAACACTTCCTTTTTTGCCTTAAGTTGTCCAGGCAGGATATATTCTCTTAGGAAGCTGGCCAACTGAAAAGCGATGACATATCTTTTAGGCAAAATATTGCATTTCATATACAGTAATAACAAAATCTTAAATAATATATGTGGCTCACAGGCTATGGAGATTTGGAACATTGTTGAATGTAGATAAATAAAGGTTGATGCCACCGTTTAAGCGTTTATTTGGCAAATATTAACTTTTAAAGAATGTGTACCCCTGCGTCGTTATGGCTCTCTGCAATATCTATTGCAGTTAACGTATTATCTAGAAGACTAGTTTCAACATCTAGAGCAACTTCCAGTGCTGTGATTCCATTCTTAACACCCAACGCAGAGGGAACCTGTGGAAATTTAGTTACACGCATAATTATTAAATGTCTTATAGCTTATAGCTGTAGATTGCTTATGAATATGTCTTATAACCTTACAGCTGTATATCGCCTACATAATTATCAAATGGCTTATATACGTGGCTGTAGATTGCTAAGTAAATAATGAATAAAGGTCTTATTGCCTTATGGCTCTAGATTGCTCACGAAATGAATGTTTTACAGCCTTACATTTGTAGATCGCTTTCATAATCATTAAATGTCTAAGAGCCTCATAGTTGTAGATTGCTTATACAAGGAATAGAGTTTCTTAAAGCCTTATAGCTGTAGATTGCTTGCAGAATCACAAAGGTCTTGTAAGTGTATACAGATAAGTATTATCAAAAAATCGTCAAAGTTGTAAATAAGTAAAACAGAATCATACATACTCATTTATCTGGCATAGATTGTTGACATAATCATTACGCAAAATACACCAATCCTGTACTGTATATTAAAGCTGATATACCTGTAGATTGCTAAATGTGACTTCGACACCCCTCTTAACCTGGAACTCTGTAATGGCAGCAAATGCTTTCGACTTGTAATTAGCAGCAGCCTTGAACATCCTGTAGAAACCATGCAGCTCTAGTTTACCCAAAAACCTGAAAGCCTGAAGAATGTTGGCTTGTGAATAAACTTTATTCAAGACAAGAAACAGATTCAGTTCTTCTTTCTATTATTTTGTTATGACTGTTAGCTTTTTAGATTAAAGGCAGAATCTGATCTATATGGGGTGACAAAATTACAAGCAACATGTATAATTGACCTACCAATCTATTCCTTACAATATCAAATACAATATCTCCCAAAAGATTCACGAAGTTATTAATGATTCAAAGTGCAAAAATGAGTGAAAAATGATTAAATTCTCCAAAATAATAAGAATGGTTACCATTCTTATAGAAAAATAATACATTATTGTAAAAATCTTTAGTTTTCCTGGAATAAAGTATGCAATTTTGTGATTTTTAGAAAATAGACATGACAAGGAATGACATGAGCCAAAAATATTCTAAAATTGAAACAATTTTTTGTTTAGCCTGCTCGCTTTATCTGATGAAAGGGACCACAATGATGATAAGATTCAATGAAGTGTCAGAGACGCACAAAACTTGCTCTGAGACAATCTTTAAAAAACTTACAATTTCAACATAGCCGTATCCCTGGAGCAGTTGTACGTTTGTTAATTCTGACATTGTGCTTTCAACTAGAACTTTTCCAACACACAATGGATCACCAGGACTCAAAGAGACTGCAATTTAGGGAGAAAACTATTTTGGTATTTATTATAGGTTTTCAACATAAGAGCCAGGATGGATATTGTTAGTGACTTGCTAACAACAATAACGATTTTATTACTTTATATTTTTTATTTACCCTTTGCTATTCCACATACAAAGTCACAAGATTTTTTACTAATGTGTCCTTTACTATTTAAAATTTACCACATATTCTTGTCAATTTGTTCATTCTCAATAGAGAGAACAAACAAGTTTCATTGCACGATAAAATAACTATTTGTAAGTTTGATGCATTTTGCACTTTTCAAATAGCTGACACTAACCTTTACAAGAACTGTCAGGACTTCTGATACAACCTTCTTCTAAACACAATCCAGATCTCACTGCTACGAACGGCAACATAAGTGCCTGCAATAATGTCATCGTAACCATATTTTTTTTATAAATTTTGTATATAATTTTGGTCAATTATATAACTATTTAGGTGTCACGGCAACAAATATGTACAAATGTTATTATGTTTATTGAAATAAATAAAAAATAATTAAATAAATAAAAGATCAAATGTATTATCGTATAATATCCGTTTTCCACTCCGACTTAAGTTTGAAATTCCCAAAATAGCCAGATTTGACGGTAATTCTTGATTTTATAATATAAAAATTCGTGGAACATCAGATGACATTGCTAGAAATCAGATAACATATTTTTACCCCAATGGTCCCCGGTACTGAGAACATATAAGGGCAACCACAGCACACTCTCCCTTGCGTACATGGGATCCTGCGAGACATGCAAGACTTGTAGGCTGAAACAACATTATTCAACAATATTTGCTTTTCCTTTATATCTTAACTTTCGAGTTTTCATTATGGAATTATATAATAGACTAACACAAACTTACTATCACACATCATTTTCACTATTGGCTCTACGAATGATGAAGCATTTTTAAGAGAACCAATCTGAAACAAAAATTGTGTGGACGTTACAACCTCCTCCCACTCCTCAATAGCAGCTTTGTACATCCCTTTTGCAATTGTGGAATTGATATCATCATCTTCTTGGAATCCCACCACCAAAAGAGAGGCCCCAGAGGCCTTAAGCGCCCGCGCTTCACGTATTGTGCTGGCCTTGTACAGAGATGGCATAGTAGCACCATTTGTTATAAGTATAAGAGTGTTCGCAAATTCATTGCCAACTCTGTCACCAGTTTCTTTGGTAAAATATCTCTTCAGTATCGAATTGAGAAGTATATCAGTCCGTCTCAGGCATATCGTCTCTTGGGATAGATCCATGGTCATAATGATGTTCCTTAAAGTGGAACTATCCGTTGCCTCCTCAAAATAGGCTCGGTGGTAATAGTTGTTACTGTATGTGATTATTCCCACTCTGGTGCCATAAGACCCACTGCCAATGAACAACCTGGCCGTAAGATCGCGGATGAAATTACGTATTTTGGTTCTTGATGTGTTTGATACAAAACACGAGGTGTCAATGGCGAATACAAGATCCCTGGGACATCTGATTGGTTTAGAGCAATCGATCTCGTCATTTTCTGTTAGTAAATTGAGAAAATATATAATTAGCCAGCATGTTTCTCAAAGTAACTTTCGTAATAAAACCTCAGCTACATTTGCTCCGGCGACCGTATGATCTATTATCTCTACGGCCAATAGCAATGCGGGGGGATATTTTACGATAGTCGTACGGCGTATTTTGAATTTGTAGAGACAGAAAGACTACGATTGCTACACGGCTTCACGGCTTTTTAAATAATGACACACAGTCACCGTACGGCGTCCCTACGACGGCCGTAGTTTTTTGACAAATACCAAGGCAAACAGACGTAAGGCGGTTCAGTTATTGGACGTCAATTGAAACCCATAAAACCATAGGCCAGGGTACTCGCAAGTCGACTATACACCCAACGGTGACCGTACAATTGAAAGTTATAACTCTACGGTCTGTAAAAAATGGATAGGCCGTTTGAAAACCGTCAATTTAATACGGTTGCCGTTTAAACTTTGCGATCTCAGTGGACAACGAACAACATACGGTCGCCAAAGAGCAAATATGACTAGTTTTAAATTATATATTGACTCGTTCAACGTATTATTGCACGATACTTATGTATACTCATGTTACGGATGTAAACATTCTGATGAAGAATCATATTTCACCTTTATTTATTGATAAATTATAACATTGATTTTTTACACTACATAAACTATAATAATAAAGAACATTCTTACCGACATTGACAGCAAAACTGTCGCTCCCAGAATCCGCCCGTGCTCTACAGAAACAGGGTAAAGCAAACAACATCCAAAGTACACATTTCATGATCGTATCTTTCATCCATTGAAATATAAAATACTCTTGCTGATTATCCTCATTATAATCACTGACTCGCGCAAAAAGTGAGACCAATTGATTCACAATAGCTTTCTTTGAGTAGAAATAAACGTTAGAATGGCTTGAGAAATCAAAGTATGTTCCAATGCATGGATTAAAAATTAAAAGGCTTTATGGGCTTTATGTTTGAATTGGTGTACATCAAACAAATGCACCTTGTGCAGTGACCTTCTAGTAAAACAATCCCAGGATGAAGAAAACTCTTTTCGTCATCCAAGAACAAACATATTAGCAGTTATTGTGATTTATAATTGTTGATATTAAAATAATAAATCCAGTTAATGGATTTGTATCATAGCTGGAGGCCAACCATTCACTTCACTATACAACATATAATCACATCAGCCACGATGCTTATTAAGAAACGCATACAGAGGATATGTAAAGAATTATCGTTATAACGAGCATAAATTAAAATAACAACATATTTGGATATCTACCCTAAAGGGGCAACATACACGCGTCTGGATATTTCCATTCTGATGCTCATCACATCTTTCCCACTTTCCCCACTTTTTTGATATCAATAAGTCGTCTTACAAAATACATCTGTTTCTCTTAAATGTATCACTCATTTTATAATATTCTATTAGATTATTGGGGGAAATATCACAAGATTTATAGTCAAAATAACAAAAGAGATGTTATTTGTGCTAAATACAAGCTAGTAAAAGATTCTGAAATTGGTTTTAGTACAAGTTTAAGAAGATCGTATATGTGTTTCAAAAATGAAAATAAGATTATAGCAGCTGGAGGCATCAATTCTCCACTTTTTTAATATCAATAATTCGTCTTACAAAATACATCTGTTTCTCTAAATGTATCACTCATTTTATAATATTGTATGAAGACGCTGATAAATAGGAGTTCTTTCGAAGATAATATAAATAATGTCATAAAATAGATAACGTATGCATAATATTTTGATGTATCCAAAGAACAACCAAATGGATATAAACTTCAAAATCGGTTCAACTGAGGTCACAAAGACATTATCCAACGTACAGCCCGAGAATAAACCTTCATTGTATAAACATTGCTTATTGATTTTTGTGCGTAGATTAAGTCTTTGTAATACACGGGGACCGATCAATTATATTTATAGGTTGGATTTAACGTGCAGTTTCCCGAAATGTAACTGTTGTTCCAATGTTAAGGGTGTCCCACCAAACATACTTCAATTCTGTTAAACACGACTCCGTGCTATGTGTAATGTTCACCTTTTACAATAGTTACAAAAATAGTAACCATAACAAGATTCTCTTATTTCTCCCTTTTGATAATAAAAAAAACATGTCGAAGATTGAGGTTTTACCCATTACGGTCATTGTAATACAATAACACGTCCCCATTTAATCACAATATTAATCCAAGATGGCGCCCTTAGTAGATCTGAATTATATATCCTGGTATTTCACAGTTATATTTGGACTTTTAACAACAGGTAAGTGGTAAAATAATACATCGCTAAAGCATACGTAGTTCTAGTTAACGTACCATACAAATTCCATTAGATGTAAGTGTCTGAGAAGATATAACATGGTCGATAATTTGAATGTGTTTATCATGGATACAACTTGACGATGTAAACTTTCCATATATTAAAGTATTAAGGTGGACTGAGATTTATATCAATATCTATAAAAAAACTAACTAACTATAACCTGAGACAAACATAAACTTCGGTATGTTATATTAGTCTCAGCTATTATTAATTCAATGTGATTGATTCAATTGTGTACCTATATTCCTAGAAGCTCCCCATGTTATAAGTAAAGCATTATTTCCATAAGGACATGATATCCGGGCATGATACATGACGTACTGTATAAGATAGTTCTCAAGTCGCATGGAAAAGGTATCAATTTGGTTAGATAATTGTGCTCCATCATGTAGCTATGCTTTTACAGTAGTCATTGAATATATGTTACAGGTTGAAGTTGGGTTCATCAATAGGAAGTGAAATGTCAAGTATATACCATCCACAATATAATGGTGTCGTACAACGAATGATTTTTTCACCTCATTTGACAGAAACAAATCTATAGTATATTAAGTGGTTTTTCAAAAAAAATAAAAATTAAGTGATATTCGAACATGACTGTATTCACGCCTTCTATAAACTGTAAACAAAGTCAACATTTCACCCGGGGTATATTCGCGAACAAAACCCCTGGTAATATGTGTAATGCGTGACGTCATAACGGCGGGCCGTAGTAATGGCGGACCATAATGATATATTCGAAACATTTTGGTGAGTTTTCATGTTCGAATCGTAATATAGACCTCAGAGCAGGTGTAATATATAATATATTACCCCTGCTCTTCGGTCTATATTTCTTAATTATCCCTATTAAATATATGATAAGTCATGACCTCAATAATTGCATATTACATATTTTGTCTTAAATCTTAGCTTTAGGATGGGAGAATAATTTTCTGCGTGACCTCAATAATTACATATTACATAATGTTGTCTTAAATCTTAGCTTTAGGATGGCGAGAATAATTGTCTGCGTTTTAGTTTTATTTGATCAAAATATTATATAATAATACGTATGTACATTCTTTAATTTCTACTCTCAGTCAAGGAGCCAACGAAAACTCTCCTATGACCCTGACTAAAGTCTAACAAAACGAATCTCCACTGCCTTAAACCTAGAGTAGAACACTGGATGGAACTCCCAGATAGAATATTGATGTGTGAGACAACAAAACAATGTTTACAATAATAATCCTATTATTAATATAATATTTCATTATTTCTCCACCAGTATTGACAGGGTCCATTGAGGCGCTATACTCCCGCCGATCCTACTACTACAGCAGATCATATTATTACTACTACAGCCGCAGTTACTACTACTATTACAGTGGCTATAGCTACTATAAAGGGTACTACTACTATGGGTGAGACCATTTGATCATCTCCACCTCCCTTCTGCATAAGGGTTTAGTAAAACACGACTCTTAAGTATATAATTACAGAAAATTGTATACCCAGGAAAATAATATCAAATTATAGGTCGTGTTTTATTGCCTTTAAGGCGAAGGAGATACAGGTGGCCGAAGATGGCCCACATGATAACTTCATTTTGAATGATGCTTACTTTAACATTTGCTTTTTCAGCTTGGTGTTTTTTGAATAAACATGGTTCGCACACTGGACGGATTTTCATCCCGTCAATTAGGCTTATACTAAACTTATGTTTAACTTGTAGATTTCCCAGTTTAGCGCATAACCTAAAAATAGTGCTACTGATATTGGACCCATGTATATTATGCTTAAGTGTGCGTAAGACTGTTAGTCGTTAGTTTGTGTCTGTAATTTCAATTTTTTATAGTTTTATCAGGGTCAGTCGAAGCTCTTTACAGATCATACAGTTCATACAGATCGTACTATTCGTACAGGTCATACAATTACTACAGTTACTACAATTATTATTACTACAGTGGTTACTACTAGTAAGTATAGAGCGGAGCGCCGATAAGGAACTGATCAGGTTGAACCATTTTGCAGTGCTCCCTTAAACTGGGTCTTGTTTTCCGATATAGGTGTTAGGCCAATTAACAGATGGCAGTGTGGTGTGTTATGCTTAATAATTCTAACTTATGAATTTAACCTTATAGTGCTAACAAGACACTTCTAACCCCACGTAGGGTCTTACTTAAGATCGTCTTTACATGATGCATGTAACTACAGTAGCTACTCTTTCTGTTTCTCATACCCAGGCTATACATACTATACTCTCCATAGCTATTTGTGAGTGGACGAGATGAATCAACACTAGTGATTTCAAATTTTTAATTCTTCTGAAAAATATTTAAACCTAATAGTTGATATTTATATCCAAAATTTTACAAGAGTTATACCTACATGTAGATTCTTGTTCTTATTGCCAAGACTTGTCTCCGAATTCCAAATTGATTATCTTACTAAAGGCTGAAGAGAGAACGACAGCTTTGTCGATCTTTTTCTCATAAAACAACTTCATTTTTCCTTGTACACAACAACCAAAGATGTCATTATCACGATACCATAAATTGGTAGAACTGAAGTAGACAATGGATTTTGGCTGGAGGTTGTGTCAAACCGGACAAATTTCCGCATATTCCTATACAGGATCGGATGGTTATGCAGAGAGGACAAAAAAAGAAAAAATAATTCAGAAAAAATTGTGGGCCCCTAAAACCAAACATTTGACCCAAATTTTGAAAATTCAAGGCCCATTTTTGAAAATTTGGCATGAAAATGCAAAAAGATGCCAAAAGATGCCCATTTTTTGAAGCCCTACAAAATTTGAGGGCCCAAAATTTTTTAGGGCCATAAGAAAAATTTCCGGGTCCACAAAAAGGGGGGGTGGGCCCTGGGCCACTGTCACTATACTGACGGAATATCTTATAGTAATATATACGCATTACCAATGTTTTACTAAACATAACAGTTTCTTCTATAGTTGCATCTAACACAGCAGTGTCTCTTGCATGCTTGCTCTAACCCCTTAGAATTTTCCCGTGTGTTTCAGTTTTCTCTACATTAACAGACGCTGCATACAGTCGTTACTCTACCTACAGGGCCCCCAGCAGATATAGTACATATCGCTCATACACATATACACCATATCGATCCTATACTAGTTACAACACATACCGTACATATAGAAGCTACTCAACATACTACTATTACAGCGGATACTATTATTACTCAGGCTATACTAGGTATATGATTATATCGAGGACTTCTTGAGATATAGGATATAGGATGATATGTGTAAAATAATTAATAGTTGAAATCATAAGAAATACTATTTATTTTCCGAGACGTCACATTATTTACGAACCTAAAATGTAATTATTTCAGTATTCGTTAATTGGATTTCCAAAATCTGAAATGTTCATCTCTGATTTCCAAAGTCTGAAATTTTCATCATTGATTTCGAAAGTCGGTTATTTAATCTTATTTCCAAAATCCGACAATTTTATCTTGGATTTCCAGCCTTGAATAAGCTGTTTTTAACTTTGAATTTGAAAACCAGCATTCTTAATTCATGAATTATAATCTCTCCACTTTTGCAATGACTATAACCCTGTGAGAGTTATTGAATCACTGAGTTTGAACACTATTTAAAAATGATTTTGTTTGAACATGTCTGAATGGATGAACTTCCGTAGGAGGAAATTTTTATCTTTATCATTTTCACCAAGAAGGAGGTCGATTTGCATCCAAATATTTTACCTGTATGTAAATAATAACATTGGGTTTCTGAAAATCTAGCTATAGGCAGTCACAAGCAAATATATCCATCAGCTCCAATAATCGAGTGAGAATTCCTCTCTCCATCAACTAGGACGTTATCTGGTGAATTTCATAACGTCTTGGTTGCTTCATGTTATGACCTATTTTAACGTCCTGGTTGCTGAAGTGAGGAATTCTCACTCGATTATTGGAGCCCTTGGACGTATACACTTGTAACTGATTCTCTAATCAGTAACCGGATGCTACTCTTAACCCAAGGGTAAAATATTTGGATACGAATCGACCTCCTTCTTGGTGAAAATGATGAAAATAAAAATTTCCTTCGCCGGAAGTTCATCCTTTTGACGCAACGTCTTTATAACCAGGTGGGGACCAGTGCTGATGCTAAGTTCAATGGTGTATGTCCCCATGTTAGGTCAATGCATCCTTGCAGAAATCCTTATTTTCTCAGAAGAACTCAAGTTGATCGAGTCTCAACAAGTAGATTCATGTTGGATAGCATTGTTAGGATCCATTTTCAGTAGTAAGAATAGGGGTACCTAAACAGTGCATTGGGCCTGCTTTTTAGAACTTTTTGTTGGTAGTAATAGAGCAAAACATGGTATAGCCAGCCATTGGAACACCACCTTCATAAGTGTAGCAGCTAAAAGTCTCTTTGGATGGCTTATAAAGCCTTTCATATTTAAATCTTTTATTTGTCTCTCAGTCATTATTTGGGGAAAATATATTTCAAATTCAATTAAATAAGTGATCCGAAATGAGATTTGATCCGGTTGCGAGTGTAACCTGCATAATAAATGAAATAAAATAATACTTACATGGTGTCACCAGAGCTGCACTAAAACGTCACAACAATTGTTTCTATTGTAGCGTTGGAGGATGGATTGCGGGCCCAGTGGTTGGGACCATTACGTTCCTGGTGATACTCGGCATCATCATTGTGATCTGCTGCAAGAAGGCCCACATGAACCAGGCACGCGTCAGTAAGTCATCAGCAACTTTAAGTACAGTAGAACATGTATATCTAAACACCTGGCTAATCCGAACACCTTCCAATCTGAACACTTTTTCGGTCCCATTTTTTCCTCCCATTGACTCCCATGTTAAAAAAAACTTGAAATGTGAACACCTCCCTCCCAATTTGAACAGTGAATAGTCATATTTGAAAAATTCACCTGTCTAATCTGAACACTTTTCATAAAATTTCTGATGTTTCATACAAAATTGCTCAAACATTGTCATGATATCAAAACTTTGGGAAATAATCTTGAATGGTCTCTTTCATAATGGGGCTTTCCAGCATGACTAGATTCATTTAAATCGAATTTTCAAATTTCAGGAATGCCATAAAGCTATGTTGTCAAAAGAACTGTAAATATTTACCGAGAATGTGTTCACATTTCTTCAGAATCCGGAATATTGCGAATGCAAAAACCTTGAAATGTGAACACCCCCTAATCTGAACGCTTTTATCCGGTCCCAATGGTGTTCGGATCAGACAGGTTTTACTGTACAAGCAGTGCAATATTTTACAATAAGAAATAGTCATTTAACAAAACTCCCGATCCCTTTCGAATGTATTTATCACGTAGCGGGCATTATATACTTCATTTATACCAGTCTGTTGGAATTATGATAACTCTGCGATGCTATTAATTGATTCCTGACATTCCGAATCAAGTAATTTGACTAGTGACTAGAAAGTATGTTGTTAAGGATGTTTATAACAAAATGCTATTTCATTTTCAGCGACAATAAATACTGGAGGAGCAAGTGCTACAACAACAGTTGGTGAGTTACAAACGACACAGGATCGAGTAAAAAGTATTAAATAAAAGTTCGATTTTTGTCTTGAAGATCTTCCTCAAAAGCAGTTCTTGTAATCAGTATATTTGACAAATTATCTGTTGGAAGTAATGTACCAATAAATTTATTCAGCTGTAGGCCATTGACAGAAACTTTGCAAAGTAAAATATCCTGTAGTTCATTCTTTTACTTTTTATGCCAATATATTCATGGTTGCACAAATTGATTTAAGAATTCTTAACAATATCGCCTTGATAAATTATTCACTTGTGCATGGTGTATATAATATTCCAGTTAATCCACCACCGCCACAGCCACACCCTATGACACAATACAGGCCACCCCCAGGTCCCCCACCCCCGGGATATGGACAACCCCCTCCCTATCAACCACGTAAGTAAACAATTGTCATACAGTCTAGTGAATTGTCTAAAAATAACAACAATGAACACTCATGTTTCTTTTAAATGAGGGCTGGCTTTTCATGTTGCTAAACATATTACTGATGACTTAATGATAACTAAAAGTACTAGCTGTAGGTTGAATCAGTTCTATTTTTGACTAACAATAGGTTAACACATACGGTGTAACATAACCGCATACTCCTATAAAGGATTGTCAATCCTAACTCCTGATTGGAATATGTGTAGTTGTTCGAACTTTTTTGTAATGATTAACCTCTTAACGAAATTAATGAGTTTACAAAAATAAGTTTTTATACTATAAAGATGCTTTTAGATTAAAAACCGTGGGTGCAAACACAGTTTTTAAAACCATTTAATTTGCCTTTTTGTGGAGATTAACGATTGGAAATTAGATTATGTCATTTCATATTACCATTATTAAAAGTAGTATTACGGTGTCAGAGTAAATATAGTCGCCCTGAATATATGGTCCAATGTATGGACCATACACCCTAGGGTGTGGGGTTTTAACCGGACCATATTTTCTGTATTGGTAAACAATATATAAATTGGTTATGAAAATAAAAACTCGGTTATTGTTCTGAATAACTTTTCCATGATAGGATTTTATTAGTACTGATGCCCTTTAGGGCCAAACGTACATCCGATATACAATTTTCAATAACAGTAAATGATACTATGATACCATGTGATACTACAGCCAACATAACTAATTGCTTTTTTGAATTTTCTTTTCCCCTTCAACAGCTGTTCAAGGATATGGTCAATATGGAGGTACGTGGATAAAAAGGGGTTAAGATCAGATATTATAAGTTCAAAAAATGTGACATATTACATTTGACAATTTTAGATGATTGTCAAAATTTAAAAATCAAAAGTTTGTATATCAAGCATCTAGCCTTGCCTAAATCGGTGTCTTTTTTATTTTTTATTTTAATTTTATTCTATATAATTGAAATTCAAGATAAATACGAGATAATACCGACTTGGGCAAGGTTATCAAGCATCCTGATTTTATCTGTGTGAAATGTTGATTTTAATGAATCTTACTGCACATCTATTTACTATTTCCTTCATTAATTATTGCTTCTAAGTTGGTCAGCCACCGAGATTTTATGGAGGTAGGTTTTCAATACATGGCATGTCACCTATTTTATACTGTAACTTTGGTTATTTTGACGCTATTTACGAAATTATACCTAGTCGAATTTTGACTGCCACGATTACATGTACTAGGATTTCAAACATTTTTACTCACGGGTCAGAGATTGGGCGCCAAAATAAACAAAGTTACAGGATATTGCTTTGCTAGCAATTGTATTATAGCATGATCATTTCGTATTTACATGTTAACGTGAGCACTTTGGTAACTGGACAACTTAACCCCTAGAAAACTCATCCCCTGGACAACTCATTCCCGAGAAAACTCAGACTCGTCCCTTGCCACATAATCCCTCAAACAATCTTGGGATTAAAACTATATTTGAACTACATGGACTGTAAAATATTAAATGTGATATGAACGAAGTTTTTTAAAAGTTAATTAATGATATTAAGGAATTAGTTATCAAGATTTGAATATTAAAATATGTATTCAACTTGATTAATTTATTGACAGTATGATAGTCAATGGATTTGGTTCAAATTTTATATACTAACTGATGCCATAGGGACACACGACTCTCCTTAAGAAGGAATTTCCAAATGGCCACTGATTTCAGAATTACTTAAATTTTTCGTAAAATATAGTAATTTTTGATAACTCACATTTAACAGTTGACATATTTGGTTCAAATGGTATATTCTGATGCATTAGGGACATAGGAAGAAAATAAGATGGCTGCTGAATTCAAAATGGCCAACAAATGTTAAGTTCAAAATGATTGATTTGATCAATATTGTTTGCTCGACGGGATTGGCTACTCAGTGGAGTTGCTGTTTTATTGTTGATCTTTAACCAGTATATTTTTATGAACTAGTCCCATTTTGCACCGAAACCCTGATTTTTTGGCTTTTCCCAGAATTCTTACGGTATCGTCTCTTCACTACTACAAGGAAGGTTCTAACTACCAATTTTGGTCAATTTCATGTAAGAGTAGATTTCCCCTAGATTCACAATGCTCTTTTCAAAAATGAATGTTTAAAAGCTCAAACAAAAAAGGAGATTCCAAAGGCAATAAGGTTCTATGTCCTTTATTTGATGAACATAATTACTGATATAATATGATTCTCTTATTCCATGCTTGAGATAAAACATTTTACATTCAAATGTCATAGTTCAAATTGGAGATAAAACCTTTTTACATTTATATATAGTATAGACAGTATGACACACAAAACACACCACCCACACCCTTGGTATACGCAGCTAACGAAAATTGACCGGTACGGGTCAAAAGCTGGACCGGTACGGGTTAAGGGTTTTATTTGAATTTAAAACAGCCATAACTTGCTCAATATTGACTTCCTCATGTCTAATTTGAAATATATGATGCCTCCCGATGCTTTTAAGAACCCCAATTTTTTACAGATTTTTAAACGGACCAAAACTCTCTAAATGCGCTAACTTTTATTTAGTACTTCTAACATATAAGATCTATTTTTCCCCATCAAGGTATGATGTAAATGACATGCTATTTACATCTTGTGAGTTTCAATGACGCGCGTTTGATTTTATAAAAAATGCCAAACTTTGTGACAACCAATTTCATCCTGCTTGCAGCGAGAAGACGGACCGGTTCGGGGCAATCTGCTTGCAGCGAGAAGATGGACCGGTTCGGGGCAATAGCTGATGAAATTCTTTGTCACAAAGTTTGGCATTTTTTATAAAATCAAACGCGCGTCATTGAAACTCACAAGATGTAAATAGCATGTCATTTACATCATACCTTGATGGGGAAAAATATATCTTATATGTTAGAAGTACTAAATAAAAGTTATCGTGAAAATGAGACAGTCGTTCTCGAGAGAAAAGAGCATAAATGCGCATTTAGAGAGTTTTGGTCCGTTTAAAAATCTGTAAAAAATTGGGGTACTTAAAAGCATCGGGAGGCATCATATATTTCAAATTAGACAAGAGGAAGTCAATATTGAGCAAGTTATGGCTATTTTAAATTCAAATAAAACCGTTAACCCGTACCGGTCCAGCTTTTGACCCGTACCGGTCAATTTTCGTTAGCTGCGTATACCAAGGGTGCACCCATCCACGACGTAATGTAGCATTACCTTTTTGTCTGTATAAATTCTGACTTGTTCTTTGGCATAGAAAACATATACTCCATGGAGCAGTTCCACAAGAAGTTTCAGATGACTAGCTTAACGCATACTCCTTTATGAGCATTACAAGATTCTATTCCTATGCAGACGCCTCTGGATTCTACACAAAAAGTGCCACCCATCTTTTGTAACATACTTATTGATAGCTTCATCCCATTGACTAGCCCTGTAAATCAGGGTAATAAAAGGTTCTCCATCGATCGATGCGTTACAGATGCAAACGATTCAAATACATTTTTTCAAAAATAGCCTAAAACATTGAGATTTCTTGTCATCCTGATCAGGGATGATTCATCTTGACTATTGTTAACATTGTTTTAACTATTTAGACAATGGAATTATTATGAAAGTAGCAGACACACGTGAAACATTGTTTGTCGAACACTAGGATGACATTATCTAAATGTTATGGTAGATTATGAAATTAAAGCGGCTCTAAGGTCTGTGGAGAGAAAAATGGAGAAATTTTACCTTTTCTGAGCTATCGGGGTGAAGTTTGGTCCAACGTCTTCTTCCTTATTCCTATTTTATAAAAATGTATGCATATGGCAATATTCATCAACCAGTAGAACTGGCAAATCGTTTAGAATCTACAATTTCATACAAGGAGTCCCACTCATAGATTTTTCAAATTCTTTCCAAGTCGACGTCGAAACACCTAGCGGGTGAAATTGAAACTAATTTTTCTGGCTGCTCGAATCGATAAAATCTCTGATAGTGTGAGTCTTTTTATGAAATCTTTCTGATAGAAAACACTTAATTAATATTAGAAAGCATTAAATGTTGAATCCGAAGCGTAATCTGAAATAAAAGTGAAAAAACATTGCGCGGACGTCAGAGAACAAACTTCCGGTTTAATAAAAAATGGCGGACGTCGAAGGAGAAATTATGACGAAGAATTAGAGGATTTTCCTTTGCCATTATCGATCGTTATAAGGTATGTGCGCAAATTCTAGTTGCATACATGGAAAATAGATACATTTTTAAGGCAACAACATATTCAAAGCTTTCATTTTACGATAGGCCCAGGATCATTGGATACGACTCAGCAATCGATATTCCCACTTTAAGAGATACTGATATATATTTGAGTGTGAGATACTAATTATCCAAATGCTATGATTATCAATAAAAATATATATATTTGAGCATTTTGGGATTAATGTATTCATTCAAAAAGTCCATGTAATGTTCATGTAATGTCTATTCGAGTTCAAAAGGTTCATCATGTTCATAGCAAAAACATTGCAAGATCAAATAGGAATTGATACTTTGATATACACTAAGATTCAAACAAATGCCTAACAAGGATGAGTTGTCCTAGGGGTCGAGGTGCAGTGGATGAGTTGTCTAGAAAGTGACTTGTCTATGGGCGAAGTTGTCCAGGGATGAGTTGTCTAGGGATTAGTTGTCCGTAAGCAAGCGAATTGACTCGACTTTTTGTAAGTGACACTTAGGTGAACAACACTTTTGCAATAGCCAAAAAGCTATATGAACCCACACCTTGTGTCGTTTGGATTTGATGTGGCATGTGTGATTTGGAAATGATACAAGCTATTCTGATTGAACATTTCCAAGACGTGAAGTTCGTTATTATATCAAGAACACGTCATATACTATAGTATATTACATCTTCTTTCTCAGAGAACTTCTAAAAGAGGTGTTGCACAAATCCTTATGATAGCTCAGATGCAATCTAAAATCACGGGACGTCTTTAGAGGACAAGACTATTAAACAAAAATGTGAAGTTATGTGACTATCGCATAACCAATCGTATCAATAGGAAGTCATTGTGAATAGCAGAATTTTTGAGATTGAATTATTGTTAAAACGAAAGAAAATTATAAATTCCTCATAGAAGAAAAGCAACAAAAACGTTCGTTAATTTTTCGTTCAACAAGGCATGCATTACCAAACTAACCTTTAACCGTTTTTTGTATATGGATATGATTTTTTGTTTCTTTGCAAAACGGCATACACCGACACTTTTTCAAAAAATAGACGTTTCCACCCTGTGTTATATAAATTGATTCTGTTACCTATATCACCTATATTAACTCTGTCATTTATATACATGTAGTTTTCGATGAATGTTTATTGTCTTCCATCAAAATGTATTTAAATTGTGGTCAATAATATATCTAAATTGAAATATTATTTCAGCGCAACCAGGACCAATGGGACCTCCTCGAGGACCACCTCCCCCCGGACCACCGCCTCCTGGAAAGATGGGACCCCCTCCTGGTGGAATGAACGACCCTGCTTATCCTCCTCCACCACCAAATATGTACGCGCCGCCCCCTCCTCCGGCAGCGTACGGAGGGCAATCTGGACCTGCACCCCCACCACCGGATCAACGATATTAATGCCTTGAGTTCCTAATTCAATATTATGTATATTTATATCGGCAAAGAACTATACAACAGAACGTTTACAATATTACAATTTATTACACACTGTATTCGAAAACACACAAATAAACATGTTTGGCATGGGAAATTTTGCGACAAAATGGCACATAATTGAAAATTGCAATAATGAAAAAACACTGAATTTAAACTTAATATATTTGATATCAATAATTGACGCGATTAGCACTTTAAGAGATCGTTACTGGCTTGATTAAAATGAAATTCTCTCAACACATTAATTTCGATGATTATTGGAAACTGAATTAAGATTCGATATTAATATTGTGACTTTCTAGCAGTATACGGTATACAGAGAAAAAAGATAATCAGATAACGCAGAACAATGGAACATAATTTCGTTGTGTTCCCTGTATTTGATATGTATATAGAAAGATCCTGCCTTAATTGAACTTTTTGTGAAATGGATCATACTTTTAACATAGCTTTTTGTCGTATTTAGATCAAATCCCTTCGATTGTACAAGCCTTGTCTTCTTATATTCTGAAAACTGTGTCCATAATATCATGCATATAAAATGCAAAAAGATGTATAATCAAGCAATATCGCACTTTTCATATGGCCAATTTATTGAATGGTAATAGGTCAAAAGGAAAGTGGAATACTAGTTTTGTACTTCAGTAGCGTCATCAGTATTGGAAAATAATTTGTAATAAAGTATAATATATTAAATAATAGAACTATAGTACAATGTGACAGTGCGTCTCCAACTGTGATACGAATTGCACAATAAACCCCTATGCAGAAATTGTACTATAAGAGTCTAAATGTACATAAACTATCCGTCCATTTCATATATATGCTGTTGCTCATATATGGAGCATAAGTTACTTCGTAAAAATAGTATAATAATTCTTCAAGTTTGTTTGTCAAATTGTGTGCAAAACTGATCGTTTTAAAGTTATCAGTTAAGAAATATCGTGAAGTTCTATTTTTTTAATTGCTTACAAAAATGTTCGTATATTCTGTGCGAAAAACTGAAATTGCTTTTTGCAAACGCCTATTGTTTCTGACGATTATGTGAATTTATTCTTGAAAAGGCATGATTCACGATAATTCCATAGCACATGGAAATCGGGAAAATCATTGGTATTGATTATAATCCACAAATATACCAAATATATATGAACAGTTTCAATGCCATGTAAATATTGTTGCTTATAAGATGACCTGAACAATACATGTTTATCCATATACATGAATAGAAATAAACTTATAACTATACTTTTTCAAAATAAGTGTTATCTTATACATGCTGGCCGGGTTGTGAATAGAGTAAAAGGGATGAAGTCGAGTTTCGAAAGACTGTCTTCTTCATCTGAGGAGGGGTTTATTGTTTTAGCACCTTCAAGAATAGACTAGGTGTGAGTAGAAATAATCTTGATTTACGTCATTATATTTTTTTTAATTCAGTCAAACTGATGTCATATTTGAAATCTACGCGAAAAGTACTTCTTGAAATATGATTTCGAAAATTGTTTATCAACTTTGAAAATTAAATTTGTTTTGAAAATGTGACTTCTAGTTCGGGTTGATACCCCATAGACCCCATGTTACAAAATCACAAAGAGTGAAATATCTTTTCTTGTATTGGACAGATAACATTTTCCTTTTCTGGACATATTTTAATTTTCATAACTATTTAATACATAAGGGTTATATGAAAATTGAACCACTAAAACAGATGTAATTTAAGTTAAAGGGAACTTTCTACTATACCCGCCATGTTATCTGACCCGAACGAGCCACCTGGTGGTGAAATTGGTAACTTCCTACTCGCATCTATGCTATTGTATGCGAATCATATACCAATTTCAAAATTAAATACTTTGGTGGCTGTGTTTACATGATTTTTGACGATTTTTTATTTAAAATAGATAACTCATACAAATAGTGATGTTTCAAAAAAAATATTTGTTAAAACTCTAAGCCATGGAAAATCAGGTTCAAATGAAATACAGATCTTTCATAACGGACAAGAGGTTTTAACATATTTAACGAAAAATTAAATGACCCTATACTTTCAGAGTTATTCTAGCCAAAGTGTGTCCGATTCCAGCCAATCCGAACAGAGTATTCACATAATGAACAGTGTGTGAAATATCAATAACGGATTTGTTGTGTACAGTTGCTAATATGAAGTGCATGGACCTGGGGACAATTCGGGAAATACGGGCTAATCTCAGATTTAAGCGTTGATATCTGCCTTATTTAAAAAGCTAATTATGTTCTTTATGTATCATTTTGATGTATTTTTTATTTGCATTTCACTGAAATTATTTTTCCTTGAAATGTTTGATGGGATCTACCATATTTTTAAAGTTAAATATACCCCGACATTCGACGTTGAAATCGGGATAACTTTTGAAATACTGATCAGAATTCAATTCAATAGAACATGTGCAATTATGACATCACAATTGCATAACGGCTACAGTTCAATTTGTCTTATATGAACGCTTTTAAAATTTACAAAATTGTGTACGGTTTTGAAGGCGAAGGAGACAAGCAATAAGTTTACATTTATTTAATGAGGCTCTGTGCCATAGGATAGCACAATCAAGACCCCTCTGGACTTTTTTGCATAATAAGTTTCACCACATATATACCCATCTACTTGAGAAGTCTCAAATCCCCCTCTTTCAGTGTTAATTTTGCGATTGTGCAGGCCGATCTAATTATTTTCGAAGAAATTAATTCAATCTGAAGTTTGAATAGAGGAGGAAAGTCCTCCTGTTATCTGATTGGTCGTTGAATTTGTTTATCATAAACCTGATTGGCTGCCTGGTTCAAGGCGCTTGTGGGCGCTTGTGTGAGTCAATGGGGATTCCCCTCGCTAACCGAGGAATCGATTGTGTTTAATACTGAAGTTTGGTTGTTCTGTTGATTATTTCCGATATTTCGGAAATAATATACCCAAAAGTTATTCTCAAGATATATCCATGGTATGTGAGATATTATATGAGCAATAACAATATGACATCATTGATTGTCTGGGGCATAATCATTGATTGTCTATGGCATAATGCATCTTTAACTTTCTAATTTAGGTCTGATTTCCAAAAAATTAACTGCACAATATTGTCATGGGAAATTTACAAAACAATAACCGATTTCTTTATTTTTCAAATAATATGGAAATAAGACTTGCTTTTAGAGACTTGAAAAAATGTAACGCATCGATTTTTTACCACAAATTCCTACTAACGCCCCGAGTGGATTTCCTGACCGTTTTTCAAAAATCAAAAAAAAACATTTTGGAAATATCGTCCTCGAGATCTTGTTGCTCTGTGAATTTAACCAGGATTGAATAAGAATAAAGCATCTTATTTTTAGGTTGACTAAACTTGACAAAATGTAACGCTTGTCGTTTTTTGACGTTATAAGGCTGATTGCGCCCAAAGAAATGGTTTGTTTTGGTATTTTGACGCCATAATGTTACGCTAATTGTCCCCGGTTTCGTGCGACGTGTATGAGCGATTGAGATTGAAATTGGGTTTTCCAATACTTGACCCTTGCAAAAGTTTTCATTCAAAATATGCTATTTAAGTGATTTTGTATCTTTTAGGTGATTTTAGAAAATATTTTGCAATGTTTGAAAAGAATTGAAGCCCAAGACTCAATGTAGTGGCTGCTTCATTCCACTCAGATGTTGTTTCCTAAACTTTGTGGGGTCATGCAAAGATTTTGAAATAACATCGATCTTCGTAGAATGGTTCGGCACACAATGCACTGAGTCCAATGCTTAAATCGTTAAACAAATAAAAATTGTAGTACTGAAAAGTTTAAAAGGAAAACGTTTCCTCCCAACAAAAATCTAGATTTTTATTTAATATGAATTTAGATATATAGTTCATTTTGATTTGTTGAGTTATTTTATAAGGTATGATCAACGAATAGATTCTCTATTTTTTCAAATTCAAAATGCTAAGTATTCTTGTTGCTTTCAACCCTATTCGCATGAGCGTAGCCAGAGGCAATGGGTGCTATTCCCCATCCCTCACAAAAAAAATATAAAAAATGTGAGATTTGCTGAAAAAATATTAAGATATTATAGTTTGAAATGCTTAGAATGCATCCATACACAATATACATTTTAAAATTGTCAGGGGTGAACCCCCATACCCCCTGCAAACCCAAAAAGCACACACCTCTTGACAATTGTTGCTAACGCCCCTGATTCGTATATGAAAAGTTCATTGTTTCAGCTCATTTAAGTTTCCCAAATTTCAAATTTTTATGTCCCAAATGAATTCATTTCCGTTACGAAATCAGTGTCTAAAATACAGCATTAATTTGCATGGTAAATCTAAACAGGAATTTTAGATAATTTAGAGAAGAATGAGTGAATATAATAGCCCTCTTACCTTGCGGTATGCAACCAATAACGCATTGCGGAAGTGTCGAATAACTATATTGCTAACCATAGTAAAAATAAATTATCCAGAAATTATTTTTGTACTCATTAGTTCCTGTTGTAATCTTTGTTTATTGAGATGTATGCGAAGCCCCTTTCAATTATACTCTGGACATGTTGTTTCTTTATGCTGGTTTGTCGCAGTAGTAGACTTATCTGTGTGTTAAATATGAGTGGTAATATAACAAATAAAAATACGAACTTCCTTGGACATTAGGAGTGACGTTTTAACCGAGTTGACAAAAATATAAGTATAACTCAATCAGAATAACCACATGATGTATTGCGAAAGATGTTGGTCACTTTCACATGTAATTAATAAGCAAAACAGCCATACGTTATGCCACCATACTAGTCAATGGGCAAAAGGGCAAACGCCTGAGTTCTTATCTCGAGTTATGGATTTATGTGGCCCCACTGGCCTATCTGAGGTTCAAAAGCAAAGTTACATTTTGACTCTCAATAGGGGTCAGACATCTACTTTTTGAAATAATTGGTCAATTGTGACACTACCCCCTCTCTCTGCCGACAGAAATTAAAATTCACAAAAATGAGGTCAAAATTAATACGCCACTTGACTCGAAATTTTCCTTCAGATAACCCAAACAAAAGCATTTTCAGATGAAATGGCATGTTATCATTGCAAAAAGATGACAACTGTACCTACATACGAGCTTACTGACTCGTCGTGATCACAATTGTGTTGGGACTCCTTTTTCCTTTGCCCATTCACAAGTGGGTATCGCATATTCACTATTATCCCATGATACTAGTACTTCCAGGTGAATAACACCCGGGAATATTTTTGATATTGAAAAAAAAATCAATATGGGTTTATTCCGTGTGACAATATGATATTTCAGTCTGGCCCTCCGGACTCTCGGGAAATATCATTTTGTCCCTCGGAATAAACCCAAATTGAATTCCTCCCAGTAAATGACCTCTATTTATCCCATGTCACTACTACTTCCCGGTGTATAACACCCGGGAATATTTTCGACATTGAAAGAAAATCGTAAATATTCGTATTCACCTCCCAATCCCGCTCACGAAGTTTCGCCAAACAAAGCTTCCTATTACGTTCAGCTGTGTCGATAGCCTGCTATAATGATGTTCTTGTGTGAGAGACGACATTTTTTATATTCTATTTCAAAATGCCATGAAGTTATAAAGTCATATTTTATAGACTAAATACAAAGTCTGTTTTTCATACAACGTTAGATATGGATTTTGAACTAATTATTTTATGAAGAGAGTCATGAACATCATCGGATAAAAAGCTTATTTACTGGTCGAGATTAAATATGGGTTTATTCCCCGTGACAATACGATATTTCCATCTAGCCCTCCGGGCCCTCGGGAAATATCATATTGTCCCTCGGAATAAAACCAATATTGAATCCCTCTCAGTAAATAACCTCTATATATTGCACATATCGGTAACGCATGACAATAAAGATATGGCATATTCCGCGTAACAACGTTAAAAATGGCGAGTGATTTGACAAATGTTTTGTTGCATTTGTTCGTTATGATTTACTATTCCAGGGAGTTTCTATTTTATCGTTATCCCAAACATATCATTTTCATTTCGCCATTTTATTTAAAATTTGCTTTCAACATTGTAATAAAAGGTTGCCCCGGTAAAAAATAGGTTAACATTTTTGTTAACGTGAGTGCTAGTGCCCCGCTAAAGTGACATCTTAATCATATGAATTTTCTAATTATGGGGTAATATGATGTGGTTTAAACTTGAAACCACATCAAAGCCGTTAACTAGTCTCCGGTTCATTATTACTTTTGCGACATACGGCTGATTAA